TGTGTCTGTGGGATAGGACTGGGTCCCACCGTGTGCCAGGTGTGGCCACCTCCCATGGACTTCAAAGGTCTGGAGAGGAAAGGGGCTGCAGACCTGCAAACAAGTGACTCAGTCCATTGTTCCACGTATCTGAAAAATCAATTAGGTCCAAAGTAAAAATATTTATTTAATGAGCAAAAATGTGTGGCTAATTGGTTTTTAAAAGAATATTGCTTCCTGCTCCTTAAGACTGAAAAAGGGCCTTTGAAAAAAAATTATTTACAGAGATTCAGTTTTGAAAATGGTTATTGGAGGTTAAATAAGTACAGAAAATGGCATATAAGCCACAGGAGGCAATGCAGTCTTTTCCATGGGGTACTGAGGAAAGGGGACACCTTTCAGAGCAATACCATGCCAGCAGAGAACACACTACAAAAAAATGTACATTGGAGGGCCAGACTGCTAGGGTGGTGGTGATGTGACAACCCTCTTGGGCTCCCACCATGCACTACAGGCTTGCGTCTTATGGAAGGTGGTCTCCATTAGTGAAGAGCTGATGTCTGGAAGCAGAACTGGGTGTGGCTCACGTCATGTTTCATAGCTCCTTCAAACCCAGATCACTCCTCTATAAAACAGACATGAGAGAATGATGTCCCCTCATTCCTTGTGACAATACCTGCAATGCACCTGCCATAGCTCAACAAGGCTGAATCTGCTCTTGGCCAGGCCTGCTGCTCAGTGATGCAGATGAGGCTCTTCTCTTAGGGTGCCTGTGCCCTGTCCCACTGTCAGTGCTGCTGCCCAGTGTCCTAGGACACCCCCCCACACACACACTCCTACCCAGGAATCCTGACATATGAGAGGATGCAGGACCCTGTGGAGCTGTCTTCTTAGCATCCCACATGCTGGCTCACTTTTACCATATAGATGGGGCCCAGACAGGAGCCTGCAGAGCAGAGGCCCTCACAAATAAAACAACTGGTTATCTTCGGAACTTCGGTGAAACATTTGACATCTGTGAACATCAGTTTTCTGTATAAGCAGACTGATCAAGTTGCCATCTAATGTCTTTTTGTATTTCGATATGCTGCCGAATTTGGACTGTGTGTGTATGAGTTTCCTGGAGATGCTACAACAAATCCCCCACAGACGGAGTGGCTTAAAACCACACGCGTTTGCTCTCCCACAGCTCTGTAGCCAAGTCTGACACCAAGTATTCCCAGCACAGCTTTCGCAAGCACACAGTCAAGTCAATTGTAAGCTTCTTGCAGGCAAAGATCTTCCATTTGTGCTTTATTTTTCTGAATGCAACCTGTAACAACAAACCCAGGCTCCGGCTTTGCCCCAGGAGTCTCGTCACTGGCTGTTTATTTCAATTCTTGATAGTTACAAATGACAAAGGGCAGAAGGACTATCAGAATTCTCTGTCACTTTGTAGTTAGGAAAACAATTAAGTTTCAAGTTTCTGTTTGTACTTCACCCTGATATGCAGGGCCTGTCCAGATGGAGTCATGGAATGCAGAAATGCAGGCCTCGTTGTCATGTCTCCTCATGTTCAGAAAGATCTGAAAGTCACGATTTTCCTGATAAGTCTCGGGTTTTTACGTATTGGCAACTGTAGGAAACAGCCGGCCTCTATGCCTCTTCTGAAGGTTGAGGCCCCTCCCCAGCACAGGGTAGCTCAAGAACACGGGCACCGCGGGCTGGCAGATGGGACAAGGGACTTGTGAGGCTGTGGGAAGCTTTTCTGGGCTCAGTAGCAGGGTGTGGGAGCAGGGGGGTCTCCTGCTGGAGACAGGTGGAGGGAATTGTGTCCAGCCTCATGGGAACTGAGAAGTTAAGTTGCTGATCAGCAAAGCTGAACCCTCCCTGCCTTGCATTCTTGTGTAGCTTGTTCTAGCTGGGTTTTACTTGCATCTTAACTGATACCTCAACTAGATGAAAATGTTTACAAACACTCTCAGGTGAACACCCTCCCATGCTCCACAGGGTGGCCCATCTGCCCCTTCCTGCTCTGTTCCCCTGTTGTATCCTGATGTCCATTTTACTGATGACACATGAGGGTACATCTCCAAGGTTAAGTGTGTCTTCCCCATCTCAGGGGACTACTGCCCCAGGGACCAAGACCCTCAGCTCCCAGGGGAAGCCACTAGAGCTATGGGTCTAGCAGGGAGAGGCCTTATACCTCTAATTTTGACATCTCGCCTTCCCAGGATTAAGCGTAAATCACATGCAATGAGAGCTTCAGTGTAAAGCAAAGACACAGATCTGGACTCCCTCCTGGCCACAGTGGCCGCCCCACAGTCTGTCCCATGAGCTGATGGAGCTCACATGACACCCTATTGTTCTGGACAAGGGAGAAGAAGCAGGACTCAAGCTCCATGTTAAGATTACTAGTTACAGGTCAAGATGTTATCGTGAGCCCCAGCCCACCCTCAAGAGCGTTAACCTTAAGGCAACCATAAAAAGGGTCTTGCACCCCAGCTCATTCCACACTTGAGAGAGAAATTAATTGGAAAAATGACACATTGACTCTTCACAAATATTGATGTTGATCTTTACTATTAGAAATGTAGCAAGGGAAAGGGCTCTTTTGTTCAACATTTATGAATGAATGAGCACAAGAAGGAAGTATATCCATTGCAAAGCTGCATGCATTTGATCATATGCTTCCCATGAAAAAGCTTTGGTGGGGGGACAGGAGGGTGGGCAGGGCCTGCTCCATGGGCTGATGGCCTCCCCTGCCTCCCAACAGGGCTCCAAGACTTGGGAGCAGCACTGACCACAGGCTCATCAATGAGAAATCTTTTGGGTGTGTCTGCTCAGTATCCACCTTGTCCAAGGTAGGGGTGAGCCCACAGAGCACTCAGGCTCAACAGTGCCTCACTGGTGACCAAGGGCAGTTTTCCTGTCGTTCGGCTGGGAAAGGCCCACAGAGTTGGAGCTCTGGCTGTGTGCTGATCCTGGAGGTTTGTGTGAGTGTGTGCAAGTATGCATTTGAATACATGGCTGAGAGTCTGCCTGAGAGTATGCATTACATTAGAAACGCTGTGTGGTGCTGTCCCACAGGGTATGTGCTGAGGTCTGTTCTCTACAACTCAGCCTCAAAGAGTGGGCCACCTGACCTGAAGTGACTGCAGGCAGGAGGAAGCAGTGGTTATTTGGAGTGTGGGCTGTGCCTGACAAGCTACTTGTCTTGGGTTGGGGCCGACAGAAGCCTTTTGTCTGCCTTTGTTTGTTTCTGAAAAGCAAGGATATTTGTTCCTTTTCCAGGTCTCCTGGCTGCACAAAGTTCCACTCAGATGAAACCTGGCGTGGTGACCGCAAGCTGGCCCAGGATGGGCTGGAATACCTCCAGTCTTGTAGGAAGGGGACTTGGGAACAGTATCAGGAAAGATTGTGTTACAGGACAATCTTGACCCAGTGTTACTGAGTGTTCTCCAGCCACAATAAATGACTCCGTACAGGTGCCCAAGGAGGCCTGTGTGCCAGGTTTGAAGCTCTGCTCTGCTTAGATTGGGGCACCCTGCATAACCACCCTGCACCCTATCCCTTTACACATCCACCACCTAGGCTGTGACATGCCAGGGGACGTTACCAACAAACTGTTTAAACCTGGGGTGAGGGGTAGCAGGGGCGCCCTCAGACACCGGGAGGGGGTGTAGGGAGGGTCACCAGGAGCCCCGGCTGGGTGGGGTAGATTCAGACCCCGAATGGGGTCTTCCCTAAATCCTGCAGATCTCAGAGGCTCCTCACGACGCCCCATAAAGGTCGCAGAGGGTCAGACACCCAACGAGCTCTCCGGTGAGTGGGTGACCCGCATGATCGGACCCCAGAGATGGCAGGGAAGTTCAGGACCGGGACAAAGGAGGACTGGCCGCCGCGAGTGGCTAAAGAGGGGAAGAATTACGACTCCACGTGCGGGGGTTCTGCCCAGGATGCGGGCTAGGCTGGGGACGGGTGGGGTCCCCGGGTGGGGCGAAGTCTCCAGGTGGGGCGGGGCGGCAGGTGGGGCTGGTTTCCGCGTGGGGCGGGTCCCCGGGTGTAACGGGCTCCCTGAGGGCAGACGGTCTTTCCAAGGAGGGGCCGCACCCAGCAAGCCGCAGCATTCCGGGGGCGTCGTGGGCAGAGCTGGCCCGGTACGAGGCTGGGGTGGCTGCCCCACGCCCTAGGACGGGCTCCAACTCCATCCTACCCTGCGGCTGTGGCCCGGCCGCCCCGCTCCCCTCCTCCCAGGGGCCCTGCCTTGCCCCCGCCCCCGGAGGGCCTTGGCCACGCCCTTTCGACCCGGTCCCAGCTCCTGGCCCCGCCCC